TCCAATTCTTCATTTCTCTCCTGAACTGTTGTCAATTGAAGCATACATAGTTGTATATACACGGCCACACACACACACACACACACACACACACACACACACGCCGTGTAGCTTGCTGGCAGCCAAGTATGACCTCGCTGTACGACCAGCTACAGCAGCACAGCTACACCTTTGGCTCCCCCTCACCTCCCTCGCCGCCCATGGATCCCGCCTTCACCTTTGCCGGCACGGCAACGGACACAAGCCCCCCCAGCAGCGGCCTCGGCTCCAGCCTACGCAAGCTGGACCGCGGCAACGGCGACGGCGGCGCGGCGTCGCGCCAGAAGAGCTGCAATGCTTGCGTCCGGGGCAAGCGGCGCTGCGACAAGCGGACTCCCAGATGCACGAGATGCGCGGCCAAGGGCCTGGACTGCGTCTACCAGCGACAGCCTCCTCCCTCGTCTGCGTCTTCGGCTCTTCCTCTGCAGACGCAGACTCAGACACAACAACAGCAGCAGCAGCAGCGTTCACAACCACAGCCGGCTCAACGACAGAGGCTATCATCACAGCACCAGCAGCAGCAGCAACACCAGCACTCATCTCCTCCCATTGCCTGCTCCTCTACCGCAGCAACGGCCTCGTCGTGCGCCTCCGCCGTCGACGGAAGCTGCTCCACGCCCGAGATGCCGCCCGAGTTCGACATGAGCTTCGACATTGAGAGCCTGAGCACCGCAACCGGGACAAACACCAGCCCTGAGAGCCTCCAGCAGGACGGGAACCTGCACCTCGGCGGCGAGCCCCAGGCGCACCATCACCACCAACATCACCACCATAATCCTCAGCAGCACACGCCGGACCTGAGCTTCATTGTCGACTTGATGACCGCCGCCGACGACTCGGGCCCCGGCAGCCTGTGGGACCTGACGGGCTTCGGGGTCGGCAGCAAGATGGACCTCCCGCCGGTGCCCATAGTGCCGCCCTTGCAGACGCCGACGCAGACGCAGACGCAGCAGCCGATGAGTTCTCAGGAGCAACAGCAGCAACAGCAGCAACAGCAGCA